CTACGAATACTACATATATTACAAATACTACAAAATACCAAATTACTGCAAATGCCACAAAATACTACAATACTACAAATACTACAATTTCTACAAAGATTGATAATATCATAATTTCTAAAAAATTACAAATAGAGCAAACGATACAATGCCCAAAAGACTTCAAAACACCAAAAATACTACAAAGACTACAAACACGGGAAATTTCACAGATATTGAAATACAACAAATACTACAAATTCTGCAAAGTCAGTATATACTGCAAAACCTAGAAATAATACAAATACTTCAAATACTACAAATACATAAAACACTACAAATAGTATGAATAATGCCAATACTTCGAATACTACGAAGACAACAAATACCAGAATGACTACAAACACTACAAATAATACAAATACCACAAATACTACAATGATTAAAAATACCACAAATGCTACAAAGACTACAAATACTGCAAACACTACATATACTAGAAAGAATAGAAATGAGAAAAATCCTACACATACTACAAACGCTAAAGATGCTACAAATACTACAAATACCATAAATACTAAAGTGACTACAAATACCACAAACACTACAAATACCACAAATGCCACAAAGACTACAAATACTACAAAGACTACAAATACTGAAAATACTTCAAAGACTTCAAATACCAGAATAATACAAATATCCGAAATACTGCATTACCACAAATACATCAATAACAAAATTTCTGCAAATACCCAAAATAATACAATACTACAAATACTACATAGAGTATAAACACTGCAACCCCTACAAGGACTACAAATAATACAATTACCACGAAGACTATAAATACTAAAAATATTACAAAAACAATTTCTTCAAATAATACAAATAATACAAATTCTTTAAATAAAAGAAACACTACAAATAAGACAAATGCTGCTAATACCAAAGATAAGATATATACTACAAATACTACAAATAATACAAATATTACAAAATACTATAATACTACAAATACTACACAGACTAAAAGGCTATAAATACTACCAATAATAAAAAAATAATTCAAAGACCACAAATCCTACAAAGACAGCAAATGATAGAAATATTGCAAAGTTTACAAATACCAAAAAACTAAAAATATTAGAATACCAAAAGGACAACAAATATTTTAAGCACTACAATTACTAAGAATGGTACAAATACTGGAAATAAATCAAATACTACAAAGATTACAAATATTACAAATACTATAAAGACGACAAATACTAAAAATACTACAAATAATTAATATACCATAGTTACTACAAATACGACAAATACTACAATACTACAAATATTACAAAACTACAATTAGTACAAATAATGAAAGTACTATGAACACTGCAAATATTGCAATTACTACGGATACTAACAGAAGTTAAGATACTGCAACGAATACAAACAATACAAATACTAAAAACGTTACAAACAATACATATATTACAATACTACAGTGTTCAAAGACCACAAATCCCAAAAATACAACAAATACCACAAAAAATACAATCATAACTAAGATTATAAAGATTACAAGTAATACGAATACTTCCATGACTACGGCGTCTACAAATAATTGACGTAGTAAAAAACCAAATATACTAAAAATACTAAAAAGACTACAAAAAGTACAAATACTCTAAAGAATACGAGGAATACAAACAGTACAAATAAAACGAATACTACTAATATTACAATTAATGAAATTAATAAAAAGACTTTAAATTATACAAATACTACAAATTCTACAAATACAACAGGAACTACAAGGAATAAAAATACTACACATACTGCAAATACTACAAGTTCTCTAAAGACTATAAATTCTAAAAATAATACAAGTACTTCAAATACAAATAAATATTACAGAGACTACAAGCAATACAAATACTACAAATAATACAAATACCGTAAATACTAGAAATACTACAAATATTACAAACACGATGAATGCTACAATTACTACATTTACTGCAAATACTACAAAGACAAAAAATAATAAAAATAATAAAATTGCTTGAGTTGCTAGAAATACTACAAATACTGGAAAGATTACAAACACCACAAATACTACAAATACTACGAATACTAATACTACTACAAATATTTCATATACTACAAATACTACGGCTATTAAAATTACTTCAAATAGAAGAATACAACACTAAATTTATTACAAATACTACAAATGCTATAAATATGATAATACTAAAAACACTGTGAATACCACAATGACTAAAAATATTACAAAAACTACAAATAATACAAATACATAAAATGCTAAAAATACTACAAATATTATTAATACTACAAGCCTAACAAGTACTACAAATAATACAAAGACTACAAATACTGAGAATAATAAGGAGACTATAAATTCTACATATATTGTCCATGTAGTAAAACTACTGCAACTACTATACAGACTTCATAATCTAAAAATGCAACAAGTAAAACAATGAATACAAATACTACACATACTGCATTAATTCAGATACTAAAATTACTACAAATACTACAAGGATTATAAATTCTGCAAATACTGCAAGTACTACAAATACCATAAATACTACAAGTACTACAAATAGTACAAGGACTACAATAACTAAACAGACTACAAATAGTGCAAAGACTACCAATACTACAAAGACTACGAATGCTGCAAAGAATACAAATAATACAAAGGCTACACATACTAGAAAGACTACAAATAGTTACAATACCACTAATACTACAAATACTAAACAGACTCCGAATAATTAAAATAATACAAAGCCTGCAAATACTACAGAAATGCAAATATCACAAACACTACAATTCTACAGAAACTCTAATACCACAAATTCTACAAATACTACAAAATAATACAATGCTACATAGACTACAAATACTGCAAACCCTACAAAGACCACAAATAGTACAATTACCACAAAGACAACAAGTATTATAAATTCTACAAAAACTACAAATACTACGAATAAAACTAGTTCTTCAAATAATACAAATAATACAATTACCGCAAATACCACAAATGAAACAAATACTACACAGTCTACAAATACTACTAATACTAAAAATAATACATATACTACAAATACTACAAACAATACAAATATTACAAAATACTATAATACTACAAATGAAACAAATGCTACAGATTGCAAATGATAAATATATTACAAAGGTTGCTGATACCAAAAATAGTACAAATATAAGAATACTAAAAACAATACAAATATTATAAATACTACATTTACTACAAATGCTGCAAATAATACAGAGGAAACTAATAGTGCAAAGACTACAAAGACTACATATACAACAAATACTACAAATAATACAAATGCTACACATAATACAATTGTTACTAATGAAGAAACAACAAATATTACAAATCATAGGAATGCTTCAAATACTACAAATACTGCAAAGAATTCGAATAATTAAAATACTACAAATACTACGACTACTAAATTAATTACCAATAAACAAGGATGGCAATTACTACAAATATTAAAAACACTTCAAATTTGACAAATACTACACATGCTGGCGAGAATACAAACACTACAAATACTACAAATACTAAAATACTAAAAACACTTAAGATACCACAAAGACTACAAATACTACAAACACTGCAAAGACTACAAGTACTACAAAGAGTACCAATACTGCAATTACTACTAATATTAGAATGACGACAAATAATACGTAAACTAGAGAGACTGCAAATAATACAAATACTACAAATACTACAAATAATAAATAGACTACGATGACTACGAATACCACAAATACTACGAAGAATACAAATACCACATGTACTACAAATACTACAGATACTGCAAAGACGAAAAACACTGCAAAAGTATAAGTTCTGCAAACACTAAAATTAATACAAAGACTCAAATTACTACAAACAGTACAAAAACTACAAATACTACAAAGACTTCCAATACTACAATTACTAAAATGACTACGCATAGTGCAAATTATATATAAAAATAAAAAGATTACAAATACTACAAATACCCAAAATACTACGAATACTACATAGACTACATACACTAAACATACCACAAATATTTCATTTAATGCAAAGACCAAAAAGACTACAAATAACGCCAATACTACAAAGCCTACAAACACTGCAACGACCGCAAATCCTGCAAATAATACAAATATTGAAAAGACTGCAAATACTACGAGTAATGCAAGGACTAGAAATACTACAATTACTACAAATCTTACAAATACTACATATATTGAAAATACCAGTAAGACTATAAATTCTACAAACTCTAAATGTGCTACAAATACTACAAAGAATACAAATGCCACGAATACTACAAATACTACAAGGACTACAAATGATACGATGACGACAAATACTACAATGACTAGACATCCTACAATTACTACAAATACTACAAATAAACCATATACAGAAAATACAAATACTACAAAGACAGCGAATACTACACATACTACAAATTCCATAAAGACTACGAATACTTCAAATACTACAAATACTACAAAGAATACAAATACCACGAATACTACAAATACTACAAGGACTACAAATGATACGATGACGACAAATACTACAATGACTAGACATCCTACAATTACTACAAATACTACAAATAAACCATATACAGAAAATACAAATACTACAAAGACAGCGAATACTACACATACTACAAATTCCATAAAGATTACGAATACTTCAAATACTACAAATACTACAAAGAATACAAATACCACGAATACTACAAATACTACAAGGACTACAAATGATACGATGACGACAAATACTACAATGACTAGACATCCTACAATTACTACAAATACTACAAATAAACCATATACAGAAAATACAAATACTACAAAGACAGCGAATACTACACATACTACAAATTCCATAAAGACTACGAATACTTCAAATACTACAAATACTACAAAGAATACAAATACCACGAATACTACAAATACTACAAGGACTACAAATGATACGATGACGACAAATACTACAATGACTAGACATCCTACAATTACTACAAATACTACAAATAAACCATATACAGAAAATACAAATACTACAAAGACAGCGAATACTACACATACTACAAATTCCATAAAGACTACGAATACTTCAAATACTACAAATACTACAAAGAATACAAATACCACGAATACTACAAATACTACAAGGACTACAAATGATACGATGACGACAAATACTACAATGACTAGACATCCTACAATTACTACAAATACTACAAATAAACCATATACAGAAAATACAAATACTACAAAGACAGCGAGCACTACACATACTACAAATTCCATAAAGACTACGAATACTTCAAATACTACAAATACTACAAATAGTTAAAATACTACAAAAATTATATATACTCCAAATACTACAAATACTATAAAGACTGCACATACTACAAGGTCTACAAATTTTACAAGTATTACAAATGCTAAAATTACTGCGAAGTATAAAAATACTACAAATACTGCCAATAATACAAATACATTAACGACTACGGAATACTACAAATACCATAGAGGCTACAAATAATTCAAATACAAGAAATACTATAAACACTACAAATACAAAAATTACTGCAAATAATACAAATTCTACAAATATAACAAATTCTACGAAGACTTCAAATAATACAAATACTACAAATACTAAAAATACCAAAAATACTACAAATTCTTCATAGAGTTCAATGACAAACTTTACAACACCTACTGAAAATACTACAAGTACTATAAATAAAACAAATACTACAAAGAATACAAATACTGCAGAAGCTAAAAATTCTACAGATAATACAAGCGCTACGTAAACTAATATTACTTCAAGTACTAAAATGAATACAAGTACTTCAAATACCACGAAAACTTCGAAGTATACATACAATACAAATAGCACAAATACTAAAAATACTGCAAATACTACGAATACCACAAATAATAGAAAGTCTGAAAATATTACAAATACTACAAAGACTACAAATGCTGCTAATACTACAAATACTACAAAGACTAACAATACTATAAGTAATAAAAATACTGCAAATACTCGAAAGACTAAAATTACGACAAATACCACAAACAGCACAAAGATTACAAAGACTAAAAGTAATGCAAATAATACCAATACTACAAAATAGTATAATAATAAAAATACTACAAATATTAAAAATTTACATTGACTTAAATAATAAAAATACCACAAAGACTGCAGATGATACAAATACTACAAAAGCTACGCATACTAAAGGGATTAAAATTACTACAAATGCTACAAAGACTACAAATACTCCGAATGCTACAAAAACTACAAACATTTCACAGACTACAAATATTACAAATACTACAAAGACTACGAATACCATAAATACTGCAAATACCAAAAAGAATATACACATTGAAAATATTACGAGGACTACAAATACTACAAATACTAAATTTACTACAAAAACTGTAAAGACTACAATGACTGCAAAGAACACAAATACGATGAAGACTACAAATACCACAAAGATCACAAATACCACAGGTACCGCAAGGACTACAAACACTGCAAAATATACAGAGACTACAAAGATAAAATTACTACAAACGCTACAAATACTGCAAATACTACAAAAATTAAAAATACAACGAAAACTAGAAAGACTACAAATACCACAAAGACTACAAATATTAAAAATACTGCAAATACTGCAATTATTACAAATAAAACAAATACCACAAAATACTGAAAATAATACAAATGCTACAAAGCCTACAAATACTGAAATTCCTACAGATACCACAAATAATACAAATACTACAAAGATAAAAATTACTACATATATTACAAAAACTGCAAATACCACAAATAGCACACAATTTCAAATACTACGAGTAATGCAAATACTACAAATATAAAAAATATACATGTACTCAAAATAATAGAAATACTACAATATAATGTAATGACACAAATACTACAAATACTAAAAATACTACAAACACTACAAAAACTACAAAGACTAGAAATACTACAAATATTACAAATACTATGCTGAATACAGTGAATACGAATACTGCAAGTACTACAAATATTACAAATTTTGCAATACTACAAATACTACATTACTACAAATACTAGAAATACTACAAATACTGCAAATACTACAAAGTCTACATACACTAAAATTACTACAAAGACCAAAAATACATCGAATACTACAAAAACTGCAAATACTACAAATAATACAGTTACTGCAAACACTACAAATACTTGAAATGCTGCAAATCCTGCAAAGTCTAAAAAGACCAGAAATACTATAAATCCTAAAAGGACTACAAATACCATCAATACTAGTATTAAAAAAAACTACAACGGCTACTATTATCACAAATACCACAATTTCTACAAATTCTTCAAATACTACAACTACCAAGAGGATTAAAAATACTACAAATACTACAAATGCTACAAAGGCTAAGAATATTACAAATACTAAAATAATACATATACCGCAAATACTTCAAATAATACAAAAACCTATAATACTCCCATTACAACAAATATTGATGATACCAAAGATAGTACATGGACTGAAAATTCAAATACTCCAAATGATAAAATTATCTCAAATACTACTAATACCAGAAATATTACAATAACTGCAAATACTATAAATAACATAATTACTACAAATATTAAAATAATACAGATTGCAAATACTACATATACCACAAGGACTACAAATACTATTGATACTACAAATATCGGAAATTCCGCAAATACTACAATTACTAAAAATACTACGAATAGTAGAAAGTGTAGAAATACTACAAATACCACACATATTAAAAATATTACAAATACGACCTATAATACAGTAAATACAAGTATTATAAATACTACAAAGGCAACAAAATAGTACAAATAATAATAAATACTAAGAAGAATACAAATACCATCAATACTGCAAAGAATATAAAGACTACAAAAATTATAAAATAGTACAAAGACTAGAAATGCTGCAATTAATTTAAATACTACAGTTTCTGCAAAGACTACAAAGATTAAACAGACGACGAATGCTAGAAATACTATAAATACTACAATTACTACACATAGTACAAACGCTTAACTTCTACAAATATTACGAATACCACAAATACTACAAGGATTACAAGTACTACAACGACTACAACTATTACAAATACTACAAAACTTACAAATACTACAAAGACGACAAATGCGACAAATAAACAATTATTAAAAATACTGCAAATAATAGAAATAATACAAATCCCAAAAATACTACAAATACTAAAGATACCAGAAAGACTAAAAATACTGCAAGTACTGCAAGTAATGCAAATACTACAAATATGAAAATAATACAAATACTACAAAGACTACCAATATTCGAAAGATCACAAATACTAGAAATAGTGGAAAAACTGCAAATACTTTAAAGACTACAAAATACAATTAATAAAAATACTACAAAGGCTACAAGTATTGCGAATTTTATAAATACTACAAATACTACAAATGCGACAATACTACAATTAATACAACTATTAAAATACTACAATTACTAATAATACTACAAATAATGGTAAGAGTTGATATAATAGAAATACCCCAAATATTAGAAATACTAAATGTACTACCTATAATGAAATGAATGCAAATATTAGAAATAATACGAAGACTAAAAATACCACAAATAGAACAAATACTCAAAACATTACAAATACTACAAATATTTCAAAGACTAACGACTAAAAATAATACAATACTACAAAGAATAGAAATTCTACAATTAATATAAATACTACAAATACTATAAATACTGCAAAGACTACACTTAGTGCAAAGAATACAAACACCACGAATAATTAAAATACTACAAAGACTACAAAGACTACGATGACCATAATACTACAAATATTACAAAAACTACAAATACTAAAAAGACTACACACACTACAAATTCTACAAATACTACAAATACTACAAATACTACAAGGACTACAAATACCACAATTACCACAAATATTACAAATAATACAGAGACTACTAATATTACAAATACTACAAAGTCCACAAATTCCACAAATGCTACAAATATCACAATGACTCCGAATATTAGAAATACTAAAAATATTACATATACTAAAAATACTTCAAAATACTATAATACTCCAATTAGGAAGGAAAATTAAAAACACCACAAATAGTACATAGACTACAAACTACAAATACTCCAAATAATAAAATACCTCAAAGACTACCAATATTACAAATATTACAAAAGCTGCAATACTACAAATAATGCAAAGACCACAAAAAACAAAAATACTACAAATATTAAAATAATACAAATATTGCAAATACAACAAATACTACTACTTGGAGTACAAATACTACAATTACTACAAATAATCTAAATATTAGAATTACTGGTAATACTACAAATACTACAAAGAATACAGATTGTGCATTTTCTACAAATACTACAAAGACTACGAGTACTGCAAATATTACAAATAACACAAATGCTACAAAGATTACAAATACTACAAGTACTACAAGGAATAAAAGATTAAAAACACTACAAATACTGAAAATACGAAAAATAACACAAGATAACAGATACCACAACTACTACAATGACTATGAATATTACAAAAACTGCAAAGAATACAAATGCTACAAAGACTACAAATACTACAAATAAGACTAAGTCTATAAATAATACATATACTACAAGAACTACAATTACTGAAAACACTACAAATAATACAAGGAATAAATGGAATAAATGTACTGAATATACTACAAAAAGTACAAAGACTACAAATACTGGAACGACTACAAAGACTAGAAATACTACAAATTCTACAAAGACTACAAACTCGAAACTAATACAAAACTACAAATAGTATAAATATTAAAAACAGCAAAATTAGTATATATATGTCAAATACTACATAGACTACAAATATTAAAAATAGTATGCTATGCTACAGTTGTCACAAATACTAAATATATCACAAATATTACAAATACCACAAGGACTACAAACAGCAAAAGATCACTAGAAATCCTACAAACACTAGAAAGACTATAAGTACCAAAATTACTACAAATAATAAAAACGCTACAAAGATTTCTAATACCGAATTACTACAATAAGTAAAATACTACAAATATTACAAATATTGCAAATACTACACCTACTAGAAAGACTA